TTACATTTTGTCAACTTTTTTCTTTACATATTGACTACACAATCTTACATAACCCTATAAATAACTTGTCCAAAAAAAAAGCTTGTTCTTCCAAGAATTTGATGGAGTTTTACATTAAAATGATCTTGATATCAGAAAGATAAGTTATTGATAGAAAATGATTGCTTATGTAAATAACACTAGGTCAGGAACATGCTGAGGGATCTATATTTAGTACTGTCTTTATTAATTTCTCCAGATCATTATGTTTTGCCTGGTACTTCTATTGCCTTCAGCTTGGAAGGTCAAGATAAAATACTACACCTAAAGAAATAAGTGGGTACTGATATAAATGCCAAAATGAATCTGAACTAAATGCCATGCACAGAGAGAAGAGAGGGAAAAGGAAATATGCAGTATCAGAATTAACCATTAGATTTTAAAGGAATACAAGAATATAATTTTGAAAAGGAAAAATTAAGGGATGGTGATTTTACTAGAAATTGCCTGACTTATTTATGAGAAAACAATACTCAATACCAAATTAACATGCATGAAGTAACTACCAAGATAATTAAAAGATACTTAAAATACAGATATTATTTAATGTTACATGACTTGAATGTCATTATTCAATTTTGCCAATGCTACTATTCGATTGGGAAAATCCTATTGGTTTTGAAGGGGGAAAATGCAGGTGAATGTTGAAAATTAATAAAAACAAAATCATCCCAAGCAAAGAAATAACTCCAAAAAAGTATCCGTCGTTATAAAAGTACTAGTTTCTAGAGCTCCTGGAGGATTTTTTTTTTTTTTAATATTTTATTTATTTATTTGACAGAGAGAGACACAGCAAGAGAGGGAACACAAGCAGGGGGAGTGGGAGAGGGAGAAGCAGGCTTCCCGCTGAGCAGGGAGCCCTATGTGGGGCTTGATCCCAGGACCCTGGGACCATGACCTGAGCTGAAGGCAGACGCTTAACGACTGAGCCACCCAGGCGCCCCTTCCGGAGGATTCTGAGTAAAACTAGACACACTTGCAATGCATTACAAATGTGTAATTACCATTTAAATGGAGGGAGAAAAACTGGTGAGTGAAAGGAAAAAAAGGCATTTTCTTACAGCCAACCAGACGCTGGCATTTCAGGCAATGATCATCTAATCTACAGAGTCAGGTTAACAAAGCTATTGTCATTCTGCCACTCACCCTCAGCCTTTTAACTGCCCCTCTCCTCCACCAGAAGGACACCCAGGTTAAGACTTTCTCCTTGATTATCAGTCACAATTTGCTCATTAGGCTCTGGTATGCCTAATACGTAATTCAACAGCATATGTTTCCCAAAAGACAGCTAAGAGACATAAAGCCTTCTCCTGATTCCCGTTTTTAATTACTTGGGCACCGAAATTATAAGAGTGAATGAAATTCTGAAGCAAATCTCTACTGGCTGTACAATTGTGATTGTTAGGATCATCTCTTCTCCCCTACAGTCCAACAAAGGCTTTCCTTAATATCATCCCTGTTTGTGGATTTGGCTGGGTGGCTACTTAGATGTGAAAAATACTGCCTTATTCCAAAAAGGCATTGAACATCATTTTCAAATGAGTTTAAAATGTGTCACGTAGATTTCAAAACTCTGGAAAAGTACCAAATGTGTTTTTATCAGATAGCTGCATAATAAAGTGTAGGAGGGTAAAAGATTTGTCAAAAATCACACAAATTAAGTGGAAAGATCCCTTCCCTGCCACGTGTATTCCTGAAGTCTAATCTATTCCTTTGGGTTGCTGCTACATTTCTTATCATGAGATTAGCTACTTCTTATGATGCGTTTGTTGAAACCCATTTGGATTTATCAGGGTGGCACATGTTGGTTGGATTAATCATTGCTTCTATCTCAAAAACTGATTATTTCCAAAGTAAGCATATAAATGTGAAGCATGAAGAACTTAGGAAATCATGAAGTGAAAGGCTGTGCATAATCAAGCGTGTGACAGAAGGGATGGGGTTATGAGTTACATGTGGCTACTTTATTCTAGCTTTCTCTTTGTATCTTCCTTTGGCTATTTTATTTGGTATCTTTAACAAAAACTGTCACAGTGGTGCATGGGTGGTTCAGTCATTTAAGCATCTGACTCTTGATTTTTGGCTCAGGTCATGATCTCATCTCAGGATTGTGAAATAGAGCCCCTGTTGGTCTCCACATTAAGCGTGGAGCCCGCTAAAGATTCTCTCTCTCTCCCTCTCCCCCTTCTCCTGCTAGTGTGCACGCTCTCTCTCTCTCCCTAAAAAAAAAAAAAAAAAAAAAAATATATATATATATATGTATATATATAGCCACAAATCAGTGTAACAAGTTAGTCAAACACAGCCATTCAGCGGTCTTTTTTTGTCATCTAAACCAGGGGTCCACAAACGATGACTCAGACCAAATGTGGCCCTCTGCATGTTTTTGTAAATAAAGTCTTATTGGGACATAGTTATGTACATTCATTTATGTATTGTCTATGGCTGATTTTGCACAATGACAGCAAAGCTGAGTAGAAGATAAGACCCCAAAAGCCTAAAATATTTACTATCTGGCCCTTTATAGAAAATGTTTGCTACTCTGTCTTCTAAACTGTTGCATCTCTCAATGTTTTAGAAGGAGATTATACTCTCTGGCCACAGTCTACTCCCCCAGTTCCGGTCTCTTTAGATCTGTTTGCTTCTACTTCCTCAAGACATCCCATTTTTTCAATTACCTTCTTTTTCGAGTAAACCTACCATCATCAGTTTACGTATCTTTCCCTTCTCAGTCACTATCACAACTAATCCCATTCCAAAATTTATTTAACCTGAAAATAAAGCTGGTCACATTGACCCAATCTCTGCATTGGGTCAAATCATCCTCCCCATCATCACCATCATCAATTCAATAACAATGGAAAGATAGAATTAAAAGAAATGTAAATAAATACTTAGGTTGTATAGAAAGCATTTAAGTGGTGAAAGAGGATTGTGCCCTTAATGAGCAGTAGAACACTTCAAAATCCTGTCTTCCCAGCATCACTATTCTTAGTATTCCCCCAAACCAATGACAACTGCTGTGGTAGATGTTACTGTGCACTGCCCAGACCACCGTTTCAGGATCAGGCACTCATTCTTCCAGCTGCCAGGCTCTTTTTGGGAATTGCCTTCAAAGGGAGTCGCTTCACTCCATATTAAGCCTCCTTTTATTGATTTACTTATTTTTTAAAGATTTATTTATTTATTTGACAGAGAGAGAGACAGCGAGAGAAGGAACACAAGCAGGGAGAGTGGGAGGGAGAAGCAGGCTTCCCGCTGAGCAGGGAACCTGATGCAGGGCTTGATCCCAGGACCCCGGGACCATGACCTGAGCCGAAGGCAGACACTTAATGGCTGAGCCACCCAGGTGCCCCTAAGCCTCCTTTTAGAGAGCGTCTCACATCTAAGGATGGTTGATTTGGGGTTTGGGCTCCTGTGCCTCAATTAGGGACACCATCCAGGTTCCAGAGCTCACCTTAAGATTGTCCCAGGTAGTGACCGTATGACGATTCAACTCTTCCCCCTGCCCAAGTCTGTTTCTCTCTCTTACAAGTGTTATTCCTATAAGCATTCCCCAGTAAAGCCCTGTAGGCCAATCTCTGCCTTGGAACCTATTTACCAGGGAACCCAGTTTAAGACAGCTGCTTTCTTCAAATGCTTTCTCATCACCCAAACAAAAGCTTCCCCAGTCCCAGTCTTACTCTTTATGTCTCTCTCTTCACAGTCCTGTGTCCTAACAAGCCTGGTCAATTCCTTTTCTCAATAGAATTCACTATCTTTTCTTTAAGTCTACTAATTCGATATGAAAAAGAATCTGTAAGTAGTTCTATAATTTGTGCTAGTATGTTTTTAATGTCTTATTCTAAGATTTTAAGGTGTTGCCATATAGAAGTTTTACACTAGAATATCAGGTCTAATTTTTTAAATGTTTCACTGTTTTATTTTTAACACAATATCTAACCAAAAAGCATTAAATATTGCCTTTTATATTATGCGCTTAAAGTCTTTATATGATTATCATAGGGTCAACTGTATAGCGAAAGCTCTTCTGCAATAATCCCCCCACCCTGCAATAGCATTTTGATTCAAAGTCAAATGTTCTGATACAAAAGTTAGACAACAACACAGCATGAGAAGACATAAAACATTTTAAAACAATCCTATTATCATCAAGTTCCTCTTTGATGAGTCTGCTTCTGGATGGAAGGAAGGAAGGGAGGAAGGAAGGAAGGAAAGAAAAAAAAAGAGAAAAAGAAGAAAGGGAAAAAGGAAGAAAGACAAGAGAAGGAAGGGGAAGGGCAGGGAGGGAAAGGGAGAGGAGGGGAAAACTAAGGTGAAAGAAAATCAAGAGGAAATCATTGTAAATTCATGAATTACTTTGCATGCGGTACACACACACACACACACCAAGCCAAATTAGTAACTGTTTCCATCCAAGTGACAGTCGCAAGCTGTTCATCATCCAACAGGCTGGAGATGTTGATAAGAGGGTCCTAGCACTGGATGAGGGTTTGGGCAGGATGACCTTTATACCCTGAGATGTAAGTGCCAAGATTCGGCGACTATTCTAGGAATACTGGTGGTAACAGTAGTAACAATGTTGGGGAAAATTCTAAAAATTTTACCTGTAAAATCTCATTTTGTCCTCAGAGCTACCCAATGATTTAGTCGCTATTATTAGCTAATATTAACAAATGGGTAAACTAAAGCAGAGACAGATTTAGTTAGTTGTCCAATATGACATACTTAGTCAATGAAGCCCAGATTTCAACTAAGGCAGCCTGACTGAGGAGCTGTTATATCTCCTTTTTCTGCTGCCTTCTATTACATGTTTTCAGGCACTGAAAATCATTTACATTTTACAGATTTGGTTTCAACTTACTTTCTTAATTAACTCTGATTACATTTCTTAAAAGTTGCTTAATAGGAGGAGGGAAAAGGCATGCAGACAATTCATACAATACAACTGGGAAGCTTACCATTGCAGAAACTGTCTTTCTCTCTGGAAATCTATCTTTTCCAGTTATCTATTCATCGTATCCTATGAAAAAAGAAAATCAATTTACCTTTACAAAGTCTTTCTGAAAAGTCAGTGATGACTTACCTAATTTTTAAAGTGCTAAACACAAAATATTTGTAAATAACAATATGATCTCTACTCTGAGATTTTAATATTACTGTGATTTTTAACATTTAGGGCTCCAAGAGACTTAAGGTCTTAACCGGCTTGGGTATGAATTTAACAAAGAGGAAAAGGTCAAATATTTTGTGGTGACCACAAGACTAGTTGTCTCCAGTGACAGAAAACCTGTGGATGCTCAATGAATCCATAATCCCAGCAAATCATCTTCTGAATTCACTTGCTAGAGAAGTATAGACCAAGGACTAAGTGGGGGGGATATTACCACCACTCCTGGAAAACAACTGTGGGTGAGGAGCATCATGGTCAAATAATACAGAGTGTATAAGGTTACTTATTTTCCTCTTCCATAAATCAGAAGTCCACTTATTCTATGTCTCAAATAAATGCTCACTAGACTATCACATGCAAATAGGTTACCAGTAACTCCCCAATTTGTAAATCCAAAGAACACCCATGAATCTCTCTCCCTCCATATTCGGACCCTCCTTTTTTGATCTCTATGACACCACTATCTCCCATTTTTCCATCTTCAATTCCTTTTGAAGAATCCTGTCTCCTTTACTCAACACTTTAATACAAGCATTGCCCCCGGGGTTTGCAGTTTATTCACTTGGGTGGAAAATAATCCTGCCTTGTTAATTTGATTTCATTGTAGTCCCTACAATGAATCTAGTGTAACTAATTGTTCTCAATCTGTGAATAGATAACTGTTTCTACCAAAATAAATAAAAACCCAACCTTGTGCTCTTTTCAAAGCTTTTCTCCTAGCCCAGTTTGCTGTGAAGTTTTAAATGGAGGGAGAAAAACTGAAACACAGAACTATTCTCTGCAGTCCTCCGGTTTGATTTCAACCCCAGGAAACAGCAATCACCCTGAACTTCAGCTCCCCAACTCAAATAGCTTTTTGGAACACCTCACAATCCTGTTTACAAAAAAAAAAAAAAAAAAATTTTTACATAAGAAGATCTAGGAGCTGGCAATGGAATGTGTATGTGTTTGACCTTTCATCCTTACCCCTACAAGGTTCAACCTGCTTCTTGTTCAGATTTAGTATTGTGTCCTACAGGGCCAGAACAGCACAAAAACCTGGATGCCTCCAAAGTTATTTTAAATAGTAATTATGAAGCACTTTGTAGTTGTCCTATTTCAGTTATAAAACACTTTCCTCAGCCATATTCTGACCTAAAATTTTTTATGGTCCAATTACCCAGGTGAAAGGAGGTGGGGAGGGTACAGTTCTGACTCCAGTTGGGGTTCTAGGATCCAGGCCTGGGTAGCAGGGGAGTCGGAGGACCTGCCCAGGAGTTATGCATGGTGAGCTGAAGGAAGCCAAGATTTCAATTTTGTAAGTGAGGGAAAGTTTAAATAATCAAGTTGAGAAGAGTGGATGGAGGGTCAGCCAACTAGGTAGGATGAAGTAAATTAATTCCTCAAGGCAAAGGTCATCTTTTGTTGAATTGCTTTTGTGGAGTGGGAGTTGGGGGAACTGGGAAATCTATTAATATCCCATTTGGATTGGAAATTTTTACCTCTTCTCTATCAACATTGTGGCTTTACCCATCCTAGACTAACTACTGAGGTCATAAGAATGTGTCTTAGAAATTAGAACAAAGAAATCTGCTATTGTGTTTTCTACCCACACTTTAATTTTGATGCCTAAAAAAAAGTAAGGGCAAGACTTCCATCTGGGGGTTACTGAGGGTCTGCGACATCCCATCGAGTAAATGAAAACACTTGCCAGCAGTAGGCCCACGGTGAATATAAACTGTGCGTGGTCTTCCAGCAACACAGACTTGAGCTCTGTTCAAAATGACGATGAATTTAGAATTAATGAGGTTTATGTTCAGAATAGTCAAGGTTATCATTGAAATTACAGTTAACCCTTGAACACCATGGGAATTAGGGGTGCTAATCACATGGTTGAAAATCCATGTATCACTTTTGACCCCCCCAAACTTAACTACTAAGAACCTACTATTGAGCCTCACTGATAACATAGTTGATTGACACATATTTTGCATGTTATATGTAATATGTACTGTAACAAAGTAAGCTAAATAAAACATTACTAAGAAAATAAGGAAGAATACATTTACAGTACAGCACTGTATCAATCGAAAAACATCTGCATAAAAGTGGATTCACATAGTTCAAACTTGTGTTTCAAGGGTCAACTGTATTTCATTACATTAGACTGCATTTATGCAACTTTTTATTACTATTGGCTTATTAAATTAAATTCTCCTTTTATGTATCCACCATGGGGATTTTAGTGTTTAAGAAAAACACAATTAAAATAAGTGGAATATCAATGAAAATATCAATAAGTTAGCAATAGAATTAACGATTGCTTGTTTGACTTGTCTGTGTCCCCTTAGTAGAGTATATCCTCACCATGAAGGTAAGGATGTGATCTTTTTTTTTAGTGACAACAACACTGCCTAGGGCATAATAAATATTCAATAAATATTTGCTGAAATAGATGAGAGTCAAGGAGGCACTAAGTACATTAGGAGTTAAACATTTATATTCTTTAACATTTGGAACTTTTAAAAGTGCTTTAACTTTTAAATCACATCTGCTGAATAAAAAGAATATTAGATCAAATGTAGTCATCAATATTTTGATGCTCCATTAGTCATTCAAAGGTATTTTTTAAATGAAAGATTAATATTTCTGGAATGCAACCAGGATTTTTGGATTATGGAGTGCGATAAGTCCTTAATACGTCAAATTCTTCTAACAGTATACAGTGTTCATTGAATTAACAATATCTAGAAGATCAATAAAGGAAACTGAAAAGGACGAGATGGTGGGTGAATAGCAGAGCTAACCAGAACTGAATACAATTGTTGGACCGTATTTGCTGAGAGGCTTCAGGGTTTTCCTTTGAAACTACATACAAAAGAAGCTTCAGTGATGTATGTTTGCTCAGGTCCCTACTCTCTTGTGGGCATAATTTGCCACTTTACTCAGCACTGTACAAAAAAAGGTATGACACTTTAAAGATGCCAGAATCCTGGGAAGAAAATATAAAAAAGAAAAGTACAATGTATTTGCCACAACTTCTTACCACACATGTAATATATACCCTATTGGTTCTTCCTTCTGGATATAATTTTGTTCTAGAGGTAAAGAATAAGAAATGATCTTCCATCTTATGTTTTCTTTTATTCTTGTTTGTTAATATGGAAAAGATATAAAATCTGAAAGCCAAAAAAAATATGAAGTCCTAGACAAAGTGGAGGTCTCAGGTAAACAAACAGGACATTTGGCTAATCTTTATCTTTTCATAGGGCCTATTTTCCTTACAGATGAGCCTATTAGTGTGCACCTACCTTATTTATGGGTCTATCTTGTCTATGGGTCTTTCTCAGAAAAGGTATACAATATAAGGAAAGAAAGTAATGCAATGCTGGCTAAAGGAAAATGGAGAAAAATTTCTCAACATGTATGAACTATGGAAACACTTTACATATCTTCTGTGAACTCCTTTTGAAAAAGTTGCTTGAGGAATATTCCAGTAAAAGGGGAAAAAAATAATTCTAAAAAGAGGAAGATACAGGATCCAAAAAATTATTTTAGCTCAGTAGAGCCCTGAAAAGAAACTAATTTTTATAAATTAGAAAAAAACTCAGACTTTTAGAAGAGTGTCTATAAGATGAAAATGAAAATATTTTTCCAAATACTAAGATGAATGATCACAGTGATAGGAATAAATATACACGACTATCCTTCTTGACAGGAAATAATGAAGGTAATTTAAAACCCTAGAAAATGCAAAAGCTGTATAAGAAAGTCACAATGTAAACATGAAACAAAATGAAATGTAGCATGATTTTGAGAAATGGAGAGTAAGGAAAGAGAATCTATTTGATCAGACACTAGATAATTCTCTTTCAAGTAATATAGCCAATGACACAGAATCACATTTTCTATTTTCAGTTTGGTCTTTACTAAGCAATATTTATACAATCATGATTTTAAAAATTATGTTTATTATTTTTAAAATTTTAGATTCAAACTATAGAGTAAGCATTTCAGGATATAAAGATATAGTTACAGAACAGAAAGTAAACATTATATACTTGATAAGGTCAAATGAGTGAGAGGGTGCCTGGGTGGCTCAGTTGTTAAGCGTCTGCCTTTGGCTCGGGTCATGGTCCCAGGGTCCTGGGATTGAGCCCCGCATCGGGCTCCCTGCTCGGCGGGGGGCCTGCTTCTCCCTCTCCCACTCCCCCTTGCTTGTATTGCCTCCCTCACTGTGTGTCTCTCTCTGTCAAATAAATAAATAAAATCTTAAAAAAACAAAAGGTCAAATGAGTGAGAAAGCTTACAGAGTTTAGGAGATAGAAGGAGGAAAGAATAGACAGAAGTACAGGGTTCCAAATTCTCTTATTTAAATAATGGGAGAAGACTTGGTATATAGGGACAGAGCACTAAACCAATTACTCAAAGTAATCAAGTCAATCGAGTTGAAACAATAACCAATAGAAGAAATATTAGAAATCTTAGAGCCAAGAATGAAAAATGATAGTTAAAATTCAAAAATAACAAAATGGTAATACCCACTAAGAGCAAAATAACAGAAGACTATGGATAGTGTAAGATAAATTTTCAGATTTCATTCTGGGGACTCAATAGATAACATCTGAAGTTAATAAATCATGAGAAGGAGTCATAACCATATTTTTCAAATATAGGAAGTAACCAAAAGAAGAACTGCATTAGAATCATACTAGAAGGATTACTTCTGGGGAGGAGGTGTAAGAGGTAGAGTAGGGAGTGGGCAAGTTAAATTTTCCTTTTCATTTTATAATCTTCTGTTACCTTCTGAACGTTTTTTCCCCCTATCATATAGATATGTTATTTTTATTACATAAAAAAGGTAAAACATTTCGTGATAACTAGCTTAGCATTCTCTTCAGTGATATTATCCCCAAGTGCATTCTTACTAAGGAGAAAATGAACATACTCCTGCAGGTAATAGTGAAAGATGCAGCAATACCAAATGAGTACTGCAATTAATATCATGATGAGTAGAAGCATCAGGAATCCAAACATGTCAACTGAAATGCATGAAAAGAAATATATTTTAATAGAAGAGCAATAATTTCTTATATTTTTATCTTTTCTAGTATCATGCAGTTTGATTCTTAAATACAAATTAACAAGTTATGGAAAAACGGTATAACATACATCATCATATACTCCAGTAAAACTACCATTAATACAACAATCACCAATATTAGAAAAGAATCTGAGCTGCTAAAAGGATGTAGCATTTAATGTCCTTCATCTCCAGATTGGTAAACTATTAGGCCACTGGCTTATTTTTTTCCCTGTATTTTCCCTCTAAACTCATTCCAGGCAGTATCTCAACAGAAAGGAGCAGATCCCTCAGTCTGCCATTTCTGTAAAGATGAATGCAGATAGCAGGGGGAGGTTTGTTGAGTTAAGGAGCTCCTTATCAAAGAGACAACAAATGCTTGCTGGGAGAGCAGAGTTCTAGCATTTGCAGATTCCATAGCCCCCACCCCCAGTGTACATCCGTAAAATGAAGCTACAAGGACAGAACATGAAATGGAAACCTGGCTTCCCATTCATACTGAATATATGAACCGTTACTTGTTTATAAGCTCTTTGCTACAATCAATTATGATTTAAATATACCTGATAGTACCTGAAAGAACAGGGAATTGAGGGCAAAATTCATGTGGGTTTTTTTTTTTTTCACTTCAATTAAGAAGTAAACATAGATTCTAGATTGGGTTTTCTTATACCGTTAGGGTTCACTAGGAAAGCTTTCATTTTGCCTTTTTTGGAAACTTATTATAAGGTTCTAGTACATTTCCCTGCTTTGGTAAGTACCATATAACATACCAAAAAAACACATTACGGATATAAAGATGATTGAAATTTGTTCAGTCCTAGGGAGTTACTGTTCTGAATGGCAACTGTCAGTATAGATTATATTAGTTGAGGAAATGCAAGTTAGAGTAATGTTCCTGGGCGTATTTCAGTATGTCCTCACCCCAAGGCTAGTGTATAAGAAACTCCTGGAGTTCCTAAAACAACATGAAACACCTCCCTTCACTGGGTAATGGTTATCATTATTACAGTACATTAGAGCTGAAACTTAAAGTAGCCAACAACTAGTATGGTAAGGTACTCACCAATCAGAATGAATGTTGACCTAGCTTGAACCAACACTGGTTGGAAACAACCAGTATCAGCCTGTATCCAGGGAAACATCATGAACAGATTTGCTATATTTTTAATAAAGCAAATAGAATAATTTATAATCCTCCAAATATAGTGAAATATAGTATTTGCAAGTTAACTGGAAAAAAAGTACATAAAAATTCAAATAAAGACAACTCACCTCTACAGTTTGACCAATATACAGAACTGAATTGACACCCGAAATATGGAAGACACATTTTTTTGCAAGCCCCTTCTTCACTGCACCAAAAACACTATATTTGGAAAGAAAAAAAAAAAATGGAAGCAATGTCCTCATGATTTGAGCTGAAGGCAGACACTTAACTGACTGAGCCACCCAGGCATGCCAAGACCATATCTTTTCTTGGCTCTTGTCCCTTTGTTGTCCTGAGTCCCTTATTCCATAGAATTTTGCTAAAGAACAATCATTCAAGAAATCACATGTACCTGAATCCCTTTCTTAGGCTCTATGTTTAGAGAACTAAACCTGAGACATGATTTCATAAAGTAGTAATAACAACTACAGTAGATAGGGTTTCTCTCTCTCTCTCTCTCTCCTCTCTCTCACCCCTCAATACTCATTCCCATTCCCCTTGTCTATAGCACTCACTCCTTCCTCTGGGGATTCCTCTGTTACATGTGGGCTTTGTGGGGCTGTCAATCAGTCATACCTCATGCCCTTCTCCCTTCTGCTCATTGGTGTTGAGATAATCACGTGAAAAATAGGAAAAGTGAATTCTAACTCCCCTGCTGAAGTAAGCAAAAGGAAGGTACAAAGGTGGAAACCATTGCAGGAGATAAGACTAGAATCTGGAAGAGTAAAAAAAAAATGAGGACAGAGTGGTAAAAATGTCACTTAAATAGAGCCTACCATGTGACGGGCATCATTCTAAGCCCTTTTATATATTAACTCATTTCATCCTTATAATAACCCTGTGAGCTAAGAAAAATTATGTCCACTTTATAAATGAGGACAATAAGGCACAGAACAGTCAAATGACTTACATAAGGTCACACACCTAGTGAATAGAGGAGCTTGGATTCTAACCTAATCAGTCTGGTTCTGTGCTGGTAACCAATCTTATAAGACTGATCCCAGACCCCTCCAAATCACGTCCTGCTGAACATCCTGAGACCAGCAGAGATAATGACTCATTCCAAGTAAAGAACCACCCCTTAGTCACTGCCTGGGAGCAGGAGGTATATCTAAGGCCAGCTTTTCTCTCATGTTAACCAAGACCAGAAGTCAAATGGAGTCACTTAGGTTGAATGGGTCCTATCCTCTTGGACTGTTGCTTAAAGACTAGAACTGCGAAGTCAAAGCCTAGATTCAGATTATAGCCCAGAGACTTCTCACCTTGGTTAAGAGTTCTCAGCGTTTCTAGGAATCAAATCCATGCCATCTAGCAGGTTTTTATGGGAGATGAATTGCCAGAAAAACCTGTACCCGGGGTGCCTGGGTGGCTCAGTCATTAAGCGTCTGCCTTTGGCTCAGGTCATGATCCCAGGGTCCTGGGATGGAGCCCTGCATCAGGCTCCCCGCAGAGCGGGGAGCCTGCTTCTCCCTCCCCCACTCCCCCTGCTTGTGTTCTCTCTCGCTGTGTCTCTCTCTGTCAAATAAATAAAATCTTAAAAAAAAAAAAAAAAAAAAAAACCTGAACCTGTCAGACAGGACCTTGTGGTTACTCAGTGCTAAGCTGATTCCCAGGCCCCAGTAACCAAGTCCACATCAGGTGAGCTCCTAAAGCAGTGCAGTCCCCAAAGGAGACATTCTCTCCTGTGCCTCTCTCTGACAGAAGCTCAGAGAACAATGGAACAGAGAGTTCCTTCAGGAGTTGAGCCTAAGGCAGCCAGATTGGTGACCAATAACTCACTGCTTGGCCAGGGACAGTCAACAGAACATCCGCACATCATGCACACTGCTCTGAGATTCCAGACAGAGCTAGAGGGCAATAACTAACTGACTTTGGGGAAGGACAATTTTAGTTGAGGGTTATTTGTATATTTGCTAGGAACATTTTTTAAAATGCAGAGATAGGGAAAGTAGGATCTTCACATCCTGAAAAGTCGAAGGGTGAAATACAGTAGACTAAGGTCATTTTTTTTGGTTTTTTTGTTTTTTGTTTTTACTCTTTTGCTCAGCTTGTGTCATCTGCCTTGTCCTTCTGGTAACTACACCTTCTCTCCTTTGTGGCTGTCATCCTTCTAAGTGGTTCTGCAGCTGTCAGTCAGTTTTGCTCCACCATTTCTATCCTACTGCAATCATCCAACCCAGTCAGTGGTACTCAGGGTAGCCCATCCCTCTGGCCCAGTAACTAGTGCTGGACTGGACAGAAGACCCAAATAAAGCCAATTAGAATTTTCTTTGAAGTTGTATACAGACATTGGGAGGTATCTGTTGGGAGCCAGGCTCTTTCGAGCTATATGGAAAATGTCCACATTTGCCATAGGAGAAAAGGAGGTCAATACATAGAGGGAGGCAGAGCTGAAAGATGAAGAGAGGAAATGGGAAAAACATCCTTGGAGATTTAGCTGTGCATGATCCCAAGGCCACCTCTGGACTTCCCACTTTTGTGAGTCAATAAAAATCAGTTTGAGTTGGATTTCTGTTTATTAAATTAGTTTGCGGGGGGCTTCTGTAACATACCACAAAAAAGATTTGACTAACACCTTAACTAAGTCTAAAAAGTCTTCAAAGAGCAGAACTTCACATTATCCAGAGGAACAGCATATTATATTCAACATCCTTAAATTGGTAATGCATAATTTAAGACAATTACATGGATTTTTTTCTTGTAGCTAAGGAAAATGACCCACATAAATACAAAGCCATGCCAACCTGACTGTCAAGAGAGTGACAACTGAGAAGTCAGCTAAAAGACTTTAAAATGATGGTAAATATTGCTCCATGGGAAAGCTAGAGTATTCATTTGGGGTAGAACTCTGTTCTAATAAGCATATATGGACATAAAAATTGACATTTTTATAAGCAAGTATCATTAAAATGAAAACAAATGCAGAAAGGGGAAGGCATACTAATGTTTAGTGGTTTGTTAACATTGTATAAACCAAGCAATATTATACTTACAAAAATATTAACTGTTACTGTGCAAAGGGAGATTTTAAAGTAGTGGACATTGGGAAGATCAAAAGAGCATTTACTCATTATTTATGGGCAAATACTAAGTAAAGCAGAGGTTACACAGATATATAAAGCACTGTTATTGCTTTCTAGAGAGTGACAATTTAATCAGCAGGTGCAATATGTACACTTTACAAAAACAAAATCGGTGATATGGCATGTGTTCATTGGCATATCCAGATTTGGATCTATGACCCTATCTACCTCCCCTACTCCAGGCCCTAATACACACACACACACACACATGCACATGCACACGCACCACACACAATTCTTCAGAAAAAATAATATCAAGGTGGGCATCTTTGTGGGATGTGATGAATGGGATTTATAAGCATATTTTACAAGCATGTGAGTAGTGGTCATTTCTTATGAATTGTGCAGTAGATAAAGTAGTTTGTGGAAGATTCCAAAAAACCCACTGGGTTTGCTGTTACTTTATTCCTTTTTGTCCCAAGCAATAATCCATATCAAGATGCAATGAATGAGAAAGATGTGAGTATGGGGAAAACCTAGAATCTACTAAATTGCAAAACTCAGTTTTCTAATTGGCCCTGGCAAAAAAAAAAAAAAATTACTTATGACATGATTTGTCATGGTAACACTATGATTGAAAACTATCACTCCAAAGATTCAAAGTGACACATAATGATTCTCAACAGCAATGAAAGCCCAGGTGAGACTTAGCACTAAGTTTCTTAGCATGGTTTTTGAAATTTTATTTCTTATGAAGAGAAGATACCAATAAAAAGATGTTTTCCATATGCTGTGTTATGAGCTATGTGTTGGGGGGTAGTATAGTTTTTGGTAAGAATGTTTTCTAACTCTTAAAAGGCTAGCCATATACTATTAAATCACAAGGAAATGTTTCAGATGGAATCTGAGGAAGATTCCCTTACAGTTAGAAAAATAAGCATATAATATACCATTCAAATTAGAATATTTGGGGGAATGAAAAGGAGTCAGTACAATAATTTCACCAAGTAAATGGTGGTGAACCACCACAAAATAGGATAGTCCTAGGCATACCAGGCCATCTCTTCCAGTCCTTTATAGTGCAAGAAGAACTCAAATGTTCTTGGTTGCTTCATGAATTGCCATTTATAAATTTTGGCATTCCCTCTGGGAGGTGGCAGGCATTGTCATCGAAAGTCTGGGAGGTACCAACAGGTATCAGCAGAGGCCATCTTTTTGCAAAAGATAACACCCTAATTCTGTGTTGACCATATGGAATTATCCCTTAGTTCGCTTCTATGAGATACTGGGAATATATTAAAAATGACACTCAAATAATCCTATGCCCAGAATTGCCAGAATGGCTATGTATATAAATATTTTAAGATAAAATTCTCTACCTTCTTATATTATAGAGTATATTAAATATAATTTAATGACTTCAAATACCTTCTAGTGGCGCAAGTGTTAATTCAAATCAATAGTTATCAAAAACTGTCACGTGCTGGGAAATGTGTGAGGTTGTTAGAGATGCAAAGAGGAATAAAACATGCACTCTGCCCACAGGGAATTGAGAATGGGAGGAAGGTAAATATGCAAACAATCTGAATGCTATGAGTTACAATCCAAAAATGTACATGTTCAAGATCCAGAACAGAAATTCAGGGGAATTGAAGGAAGTATTCTTCTTGCTTTAAGAGGAAGTGAAGAATGCATAAGGATGAGGAAAAATGACAGAAATTTTATCAGTTTGGGGAGTAAAGTTTGCCCCTGGAGGCTCTACTTTTGTCTATAAAATTAGAGAAAAACCCATCTGTTGAGAATGAGGGAATGTGAGATTACATTGGAACATTAAGGATGGCAAAAAAGTTTTGGAATTGCTGCTGTGGGAAATTTGAGGGAATGTTGCTAACCAAAGGCAAGAAATGGGTAGTCTTGGGACTCAGGTGAGATGAGAAATTATGGATTTGTAGTTGCATTAATGCAGACTTTGGTGCAATATGCTCCAGTAGCAATAGGCTAATAATGTGTAACAAATGAAAAACAGACCAAAGGACCGATCAGGTCTAGGGAATGCAGATCCAACACAGCTAAAGATGAGAAGGCAAGGACATTAAAGCAGTGGTGATTTCTGCAACCTCCAGTGAAATAAAATAATTTGTATAGGCAAGGATCATCAAGGCTGCTGACTTCACAAAATGTTCAACAAACTTATCTGCTTTCTAATGAAAGTCCTCAGCATGAGATATTCCTGCCAAAAAACTAAACTGAAGTTGATCAAGCCTCTATATGTAATCATCAGTTTACAAGAACAAAAAATAGGAACGAGGAACATGATAGAGCACATTACGGAGCACAGGATAAAGCAAAATCCAGGTTGTGGGAATCGCAATAGAACAAACAATTCAGTTTCTACAACAAATAAGTTACAATAAAGAAAAAAGAGGGAGAAGGAGCATATAGATAAAAAGAGATTCAAGGGATATATCAGTCAGTTGCAATGCATGGACTTTGTTCAAATGAACTTCAAAAAAATTATGAAACAACAAGAGAAATGTGGTTATTTCCTGGATGCTTGATGATATCAAGAAGTTAATTTGGGGGCACCTGGGTGGCTCAGTTGTTAAGTGTCTGCCTTCGGCTCAGGTCATGATCCCGGGGTCCTGGGATCGAGCCCTGCATTGGGCTCCCTGCTCGGCGGGAAGCCTGTTTCTCTCTCTCCCACTCCCCCTGCTTGTGTTCCTGCTCTCACTCTCTCTCTCTCTCTGTCAAATAAATAAATAAAATCTTTATAAAAAAAGTTGTTAATTTTTAGGTATAATGATGGACTTGTAATATTTTAAAGCAGAGTATCTATTATATATATATACACATATATATATACACATACACACACACACACACACCCGGAATGAGAGCAAGAGGGAGAGGGGGAGAGAGTGATAAGTATTTGTAAGTAAAATGATACAGTATCAAAATCCTTCTTTGTTTCAAAACAATCCATTTTGGCTGGGAGAGAGCATATATGAAAGATGGATCTTGCAGTTATTTGCAAATGACATTACAGATAAAGGGCTGGTATCCAAGATCTATAAAGAACTTCTCAAACTCAACACCCAAAAAACAAATAATCAAGTCAAAAAATGGGCAGAAGACATCAACAGACACTTCTCCAAAGAAGACACATGAATGGCTAAAAGACACATGAAAAAAATGTTCAACATCATTAGCCATCAGGGAAATTCAAATCAAAACCACATTGAGATACCACCTTACTCCAGTTAGAATGGCAAAAATTGACAAGGCAAGAAACAACAAATGTTGGAGAGGATGTGGAGAAAGGGGAGCACTCTTACACTGTTGGTGGGAATGCAAGTTGGTACAGCCACTTTGGAAAACAGTGTGGAGTTTCCTCAAAAGTTAAAAATAGAGCTACGCTATGCCCCAGCAATTACACTACTGGGTATTTATCCCAAAGATACAAATGTAGTGAAAAGAATGGGCACATGCACCCCAATGTTCATAGCAGCAATGTCCACAATAACTAAACTGTGGAAGGAGCTGAGATGCCCTTCAACAGACGAATGGATAAAGAAGATGTGGTCCATATATACAATGGACTACTACTCAGCCTTCAGAAAGGATGAATAACCACCATTTGCAATGACATGAATAGTACTGGAGGGGATTATGCTAAGTGAACTAAATCAAGCAGAGAAAGACAATTATCATATGGTTTCACTTATATGTGGAACATAAGGAATAGCATGGAGGACATTAGGAGAAGGAAGGGAAAAATGAAGGGGGGAAATCAGAGGAGGAGATGAACATGAGAGACTATGGACTCCAGGAAACAAACTGAGGGTTTTGGGGGGGGGGATGGGTTAGCCTGGTGATGGGTATTAAGGAGGGCACGTATTTCATGGAGCACTGGGTGTTATACGCAAACAATGAATCATGGAACACTACATCAAAAACTAATGAAGTACTGTATGGTGACTAACATAACAACCAAAAAAAAAAAGGTTAAAAAAAAGATGGATCTTGCAGGTGTACAGTTCTATTATACCATTTTCTCTGCTTTTATGTGTTTGAAAATTTCCATTGCAACAAACAAAGAAATGTGGAAGAATATTTCATTCAAGTGAACAGCCATGAGAATTCACAGGAAGGATGCTTGAAGGAATCCATAGGAGAGGGCCAATAAGCTGAAGGAAAAATGAGAGATTAAAGGACTAGAGGGCAGTCTCCTGACGCCAAAAAGTAAGTACAGTGTAAGGGGAACGAAAATTTAGGAGCCACTGTAGACTGTGCAGGGCTCAGGGTGTGGCCAGGGAAGTGACTTCTTAATGCAGACCTGAGGAAGTCAGGAGCCTGAGGGATCAAGTGTGTCTGGGCCTTCGCCGAGTTTAAAAAGCATGTAGGTTAGATGGAGAAGTCCATGAGCCAGGAGCCCAGGTCCTCATTAAATGAAGGACTGGCATGGATGACCATAAGAAGGCGCACAGAATTGTGCATCCAAATCACTATGACAGATACCAGTTACTAGAGTATGCTCTTTTCTAATTAGTGATTTCATGTCTGTCTTTCGTGTTAACTGTCAGTTCTCCAATACTGGTTGAATGGTTTTGTAAGGGTTGCTGCAAAGCCCTCTGTAACACAATACCCCTCAATTCTTATGGCATTTCTACTTTCTTCCAAATCTGAAGTGAAGAACAATGTCAGCTACCTAATCCTCAGAGAAGGGAACTTAGCTACATTTTAGGTAAGGAACAATGTGTCATCCTTTCTAGTTTTGAGATAATAGAGTACCAAGGAAATTTTCACTGCATCTCAAAGGGCTTAGCTTTTCCTTGACTTACAAAAAATTCTTCCCAAAGTATAATTATTTTCAAGCAAAAAAAAATTTTTTTAAAGCATAATTTTCTAGAAGGAAGTACATTTACAACTGTAAATTATGTGACTTTATAACATTCCCAAGACAATTTTCTCATATATGTTAACTTACTTTCTTATCTTCTGTGCATAATTGACAATTTTTCTTTACAGCACATGCTATAAAAAATTAAGTGCAAAAATGTAAATGCAAAGACCATTTGTTGCTTAATTTTATATAAAAGTGCATCTCATTTAGTCATTCCTGTTTAATGGCATACTCATCTATCCCCAGTGTTTTATTTCATTATTTTCACATATCTAGACACTTTTCCCATTACTATTTAAATCCTAACTCTCTTATTTTCTACTATCGCTGGGAAAAATGTGAAATGGCATTATCCAACTTTGATTAGCCAAGTTAAGTTCTAAGAAATAACTTCCAAAAACCAATAAGGAAAAACAAATTGGCAATATCACTATATATTTACAACATCATACTTTAAAAACCTCTTTTAGTAATTCCTTTGTTATTCAACATGGTTTTGCTAAGATATTCCTGGCTAATTAGTCCTTAGTGGCAGAGGGAGAGGGACAAACAGACTCCCCACTGAGTAGGGAGCCTGATGTAGGGCTCGATCCTGGGACCCTGGGATCACGACCTGAGCCAAAGGCAGATGCTTAACCGACTGAGCCACCCAGGCACCCCAGGTCTTTAAATATTAAAAAAAAAAAATTAATTCTTCATTTTGTTGTGCCACAAGTTTTAAAAACTTCTCCCAGATGAGGATTTTCATTCTTCTTGTTTCATAAAAAAATAAACAATATAATTATATTTGAAAGTTCTAGAATAAAAACTATAAGTCTGGAAAAAAAGCATTTTGATGGTTCTTTTTCTTACTCCAACATCTCTGTAAAGTAAGTAGAGCCTGGAATTAATACCCTAGCTTTCACGTGATGCAATAACAATAAAGTCACTTTATTATTTTGGGGACAGAGTTCATAAGCTCTGTGGGAAAGGTCAGGCCTTTCTATTTAATTTCAAATTGTTTGATTGGATACAGATCTGATTTGGCTGGCAAAAGACTTACGAGAGTTTTTCAAATTAAGCCCTATTGAATATTACTTCTCCCTACCCTTTTGGAGTCTCCAAAGGGAAGTTGACTAAAAGGCAAGGTCAATGGGAAAGATTCTACTACTTCAGCTATGTTGGGGCAGCCGGCTTTAGGCTTACTTCAGGAGGCAGGAGCAGGGAAACAAAAGGCATGTGACTTAGCCACATGGGCTCTCCAAATTCTACTTGTTTCCCACAGCTGAAGTTTTTACATTGGAATAATGTTAGATTTACAGAAAAATTTCATAGATTATACAGAAAGTTCCTGTATACCTCTCACCTGTTTTCCCCATGGCTAGCATCTTACCACTATTACGGTACATTTATTAAAACTAAGGAATTGACGCCAATACATTACTTTTAACTAAACTCCAGATTTTACTAGGATTTCATTGTTTTTTTATACTAATGCACTTTTTCTGTTCCTAGATCCAGGATCCCACATTGCATTTGGTCATAATGTCTCCTTTAGTCTGTGACAGTGTTTCAGTCTTTCCTTGTTTTCCATGACCTTGACAGTTTTGAAGAGTATTGGCCAAATATTTTGTAGGATATCCCTCAATTTGGATTTGTCTGTTTCTCTCATGATTAGACTGAAGATATGGGTTTGGGGGAAGAATACTGCAAAGGTGAAGTTGCCACATCACATCATACCAGCATGTACATGATATCAACATGGTTTTCATTTACCTTTTTTATATTATATACATTAGAGAAAGTTGAAGATGTAGGGCTGCTGTTAGCACTAGTTGAAGACAGGGCATCTTTGTTTAAACTAGGAAAAGGTGACTCTCTGAAAGAACCAACTAGAAAAATGCAAACCCTTTCTGAGCAGCCACAGCCAGCAATCAATCCAGCTTCATGGGAAATATAAATTGGCCTTCACTCTCAGATTATGTGGAATCCTTATTAAGCAATTTATAAACATAAGTGCTTATTTGAAAACAGTTATAACCAATCTTCACAATCCTGAAAGGTGGTTATTATTAACCTCACTTTATTGATGAAGAAACTGATCTCAGAAAAGTCAAATAACACATTGAAGTTCACTTGCTAATAATGACAGAATGTGGGTTTAAGCTCTTTTGACCACCAGTACCTCTGCTTTCTCCTGGGAAATATAACCCATCCTTCCTTGGCAGGAACTGCTCCTTCCCAGCAGTAGACACATGGTACAATTGGTAACTGCCCCCTCCTACACAAACTCCCTGGTCCCAGCCAGGCATGTAAGGCACACCTGAACCAAAGGGGGCGAATCCCAGACCACACTGGTCTAGGGAGAGGGAATATGACCAAGTCAGGCCAATGAGAGTCTTTCTCTGACGATTTACAAATGAAAACATGAGGTTAAGAGGTGGCAGGGAGCCACTTTCTCTTTGTTTGGGAAGTTGAGAAGATGGAGCTTCCAGTGACCATAGAAGCCCTGAGGAGGAAGCTAATAGGAGTGAATGAGGTTGATAAGCAGAGAAAAGGAGAGACAACAAAGGAGAAATAAGGAGATGATGGTGATTCACTCATTTCTGAGGTCCCATACATTTCTTTTGTTTCACTTAAGCAAGACAAATTATGTTTTTCTTACATGTAAAATCTTGGTTTCTTACACTGCATCTAAAAACATTCCAGTTAGTATAAAGTCCACAACTTTGTTTCTTTCCACTAAGTCCTGATATTTTCCTTATTTTCATTCCTGATACTTATATTTTTTCCAAAATTAAAACAGGATTATTGTCTTTCTGTAGCTATAAAAATGATACATGTTCAATATAAGAAATACGTACACAGTAAAAACAAACATTGAAATTCCACCATCCAGAAAAACTCTTGATTCTTCATCTTAAGCAAATTATTTCCATAATCTCAACTTAGATTTTGGCATCATTCTGGATGGCTCCAACCATGAAATCTTAAACTCCAATATTCTATTCTCTAACTGGAATCTTCTTTCCTTTCCTCTCTCACTTGCATTTTGACCTCACTCAGAACTTCACTTTCCTTGACCTTGAACTTGTTTGCCCCTCATGGCCTCATTTCCCGCTCTTTTAGCTTGACTCTCATGTCAGTGAATGACCTGATATGGTCCATCTCAGAGGTTTAGACTAAACATTTGTATAACTACCCAGCAATTTTTCCTATAGTCTTTCCTGCCCTTATTGGAGAACCAGTGAGGACCAGCTAACCTACATGATCATATTTTACATGAAGCAATAGGTTCTTTCTTTCTTTCACTCTATCCCTGAAGAAAGAGGTACTAGCTCTTTAAACAGCTAGGTACCAGATTCTTCCCTTACCCCACAGGCCTGATTTTTGTATATCTATATTCTATCTAGTCACTTCCTTCCTCTTAATTATATATTTTTTTCACAACTTCTGCAGCATCATTCTCTTCTAGTTCTCCTGGAACATCTCTGGCCACTCTTTTTGAATTTCTTTGACTGATTCCACTTCCTCTACCAATGTCTAAAATGTTATTCCATAAAGTTCCATCTTTGGTCCTCTTCTCTTCTCCCATGAGGACCACAATTTGAAACACCTAGAGATGCTAGGCATCAAAATATATTATACCAGATATCAAAACAAGAACTTTCTTTTTGATTGGCATTGCAATGAATTAATAAATTAATAACTTAAAAAATAGAACAGTTTAATCAGACAAGCTGATTCTAATGTTTACCTGGAAGGGGAATTATTTTAAGAACAGCTAAGAGGGAAAAAAACAAAACAAAACAATGGGGGGCCAGATCACAAGGCTTTATATATTATAATTTCTATATTGTAGCTTTATATTTTATATACTTGATCTGTTGATTTCTGATATAGGCATGTAAAGTGATCCCATGTGGATTTAACTTGTCAATTGCTCTTTCTATTTCTATCAACTTTTGCTGCATCTATTTCAAAACTATGTTGTTTGATGAACAAATCTTCACATGTCATCTTCATGTACTGTGCTATAATATCAGCATGGACTATCACTTCTACTTAAAGATTTTCTTTTACTTAAATTCTATTTTATCCAATATTAAGATTGCTATACTTGCTTTCTTTTTCAGCGGCATTTTTGAAAGGTGTATTTTATTCCATCAGTTTATTCTTTGTTCCCTTATTTCCTCTAGTGGTTTTGAAGCCACACCTCCTGTTTCTATTTACATATAAGCTATTTAAAAATTTTTGAGGGCGCCTGGGTGGCTCAGTCGGTTAGGCGACTGCCTTCGGCTCAGGTCATGATCCTGGAGTCCCGGGATCGAGTCCCGCATCGGGCTCCCTGCTTGGCGGGGAGTCTGCTTCTCCCTCTGACCCTCCCCCCTCTCATGTGCTCTCTCTCATTCTCTCTCTCTCTCAAATAAATAAATAAAATCTTAAAAAAAAATTTTTTTGAGACATATATTTTATATGCCTTTTTTTTTCAGTAGGCTCCATGTGGGGCTTGAACTCACGTTCCTGAGATCAAGACCTAAGCTGAGATCAAGAGTCAGATGCATAAATACTGAGCCATCCAGGCACCCCTTATATGCCTCTTTATAATCTTTGCCTAATCAGGATCTACATTCTCTACCTATATAAGGATCCTAATATGCTTTTGCTTTCTTCCTTTTCCTCTCCATACCACTTCCCAGGTAGATATAATCAAGAATTCTAATTACTGTTAAATACTTATGAATCATTATTAAATTATTATTATATTTAAGTTGCTGTTGACTTAAAATCGAACATTTAAAATTAACTCTAAGTTTTATTGGTCTCTTTGTTTACTACTCTTTCTTGAATGCTACATTTCCCTTTGGTTCATTTTCATTTTTCTAAATAATATCTTGGAGTATAAATTTCAGAGAGGGTCTTGAGTGATAGCAGTTACTCTAAGTATATATAATATAGGAAACTTAGTACTGGGAATTAGGGGTCCAGGTGATGGAAGAAACTGAAAAGTCCATGAGGGGAAAGACAGTGAAACCCCACTTCCTCCCAGATATCAGCAGCCCCTAGGCTAGAAGAAAGGGAAGGAGGCAGCTATCAGAGCCCAATATAATATGCATACTTTAGAGTGTAAATGATAAATATTCTTGGTGTGTTCAACATTAGCAGAAATAAATGGGTACTTATGGAAATAAGGAGAAAACCTAGAAGCCTTGCCTCATATTCATATTATTTAGCCTTCAATGTATTTCGTCAGAGAAATCTCCCTTTTTACCTCATTCTGATATCTTTACTTTGAGACTCGTTTCATTGAATCTATTTTTTTTAAGATATTATTTGAGAGGGAATAAGAAAGACAGCATAAAAGCACAAGAGCAAGAGCGCAAGAGCGAGGAGAAGCAGACTCCCTGTTGAGCAGGGAGGCCAGATGTGGGGGCTCGATCCCAGAACCCTGGGATCATGACCTGAGCTGAAGGCAGATGCTTAACTGACTAAGCCACCCAGGTGCCCCTGGTGGTGCCCCTGAATCTATTTCTTATTTGGTGATTCTCTAGCTAAAAGCACTTGTGGGGACATTTGCATTTGTTCCTTGAGTTACGTTTTATTCTAGGGTACATTATTTGTTTTCTACATGCTACCAAACTCCTTAATTTCATTATTTAGTTAGCTATGCAGTGTTTGCATAGTTGCTCTGTTGTCTATTTTCATCTTACTAATGCTTGGATTGTTGGGTTCAGAACTTCTATTTGTGCTGACATGATGTAGGTGACACCTTGACCACCTAAAACTATCCTTGAGATGTTTTTCTGAGAAACTACAGTTTTATGGTATTTTATGTTCTATTCATTCAGTTGTTCTCAGCACCTGACAAAGGGAAAGAACTCAGGTGAGGCTGTGCCAGACTTTGTTAGAATATCTGGGCTCTACACTCTTTTAAGATTTTGTCATTTTCCTCTGCCAGGATTCTAGCTAATCGGAGGCATTACCCATTTCCATAAAAGGGACTGTAGATCTGCCCCTAAATCGAGTTTCCAGCCCAGGAACTGACCTTTCCATCCATTGTTCAGTTCTTCTTTTTCCCTTTTTTCTCCTCTGTAACAATTTCCTCTGTTATTCTTCAGAACGGTAAAGAATAGGATACCCACTCAATTTGCATCTCTCTAGTTCCAGGAGTATTAATGAAAATTTTTGGAATTTAGTTACTCACTAGTGACTTCTAAAGGGTGATAGTGGTATTTGGAGCATTGTCACGCTGTACTATTCTGTTCTGATGCAGAATCTTTCCTTTATTTTTTTCCTTGGTTGCCAGTGGCTTTTTAGACTATGCCCCTTTGTTGTTTGGTTGCTCCTGGTGAAAGAACATCACTACATGTTAGTGTGGTTTTTTACTCTTTCATTAGATATTGGGGGAAAAGATTCCTAACCCAAAGTTCCAAGTGCAACTATAATTTATAGGAAATTGCTTACTGAGCTCTCAGTTGTAAGTGAATATCAGGGTTGAAAGCTCTGGGGATCAAAGCAACCCAGAGCTTTGTGGTAGGTCTCACTTGTTGTGGGATCATTCACAAAGTCCTGTGGGAAAGGCCTATCAATCTGAGTGCTAGGAAGGATGGAGGTGGGGATCCTAGTAGGGGTTAGAATCATTTTCTCAGATTTGGAGCTGAAGGAATAATGTCTAAGAAACCATGTCCCTGTTAGATGGGAAGGTTGAATGCAAGCACAAAGGGGAAATGCCTCAGGCTAGGAAGCAAAAATTGGGGGGTGGGGGGAGGTCCAGGACAGGCTGAACTAGACTTTCCCTCACAAAGGGAAACTGTTTCCACAGAAACATCGAACAGGGTTGGTCAGTCCTAGAATTGAGCTACCTAGAATCAGAACCTTCAGTCTTTGGAGACCAGACTATATTACCTATAATTCTTGATTTGTTTGTGTCTTTGTTCACTCCCTTTTAGTTCTTCATCAGCATTTTAATAAAGCCTTTAGAAAAGTTCCAGTATGACTCCAATTTGCTAGAGAACAAAAAGAAGGATTTGTTTCTATGCTTGGCCTATGTTTTTAGGCACTGTTTGTGTGGAGAACATGGTGGGGATAGTACTAGAACACTGTTCCTCTTGGAGTATGTATGGGGATGACCAAGGAGTCAAAAGAGAAAAATCTATGGGAAAGATGAAACCAAAGGAAACAAGCTAGGCCTTTTGATTCAGCCTCTCCCTACTCCCCATCCTCTCAAAGGGCAGTCTCATTTCAGGACAAAGCTGAGAGCTTTGGGTTTGGTTTTAGTAAGGAAGACCAATTTCCTTATAGATACTAACATTCTTTCAGACTCTAGAAACCAGACAGCAGTAATTCTTATAGTCTTCATACAAATAGCAATCTTGGCTTTACAGGGCATTTCCCAAGTAATTCAAATCCTGTCCTTATTCTATCTATACAATCTCAATTTAGGATACTAAAAATCTTATTTCCAGGTTCATGAATTCAACTCAGCATGAATTTTAACGTTCCAAAATTTCTTCAGTTGGGGAGGAAAACTAAGGGAAGTCTCCAGACCAAAGCAATTCTTTCTTAAGACACAAATTAAGGGGCGCCTGGGTGGCTCGGTTGGTTAAGTGACTGCCTTCGGCTCAAGTCATGATCCTGGAGTGTCTGGATCGAGTCCCGCATCGGGCTCCCTGCTTGGCAGGGAGTCTGCTTCTCCCTCTGACCCTCCCCCCTCTCATGTGCTCTCTCTCATTCTCTCTCTCTCAAATAAATAAATAAAATCTTTAAAAAAAAAAGACACAAATTAAGGAATGTATTAAATAAAACCTTAAACCACTAAGACTAGCCATGACTATTGAGCAGAGTCTGATTAGCTAATTTACAGCTTACAGCACAAACTTTATGTGCTTTATAGGTCATGTAAAAAGTGAGGGGGGTGGGGGGGCACATGCTTTCCCAAATTTTTAAACTGTTTTAATCCACTCTTCACATTTCCGATAAAGCAAATTGAGTCCAATTAAATTGGATTTCACCAAAAACATAAAGAGCCCTAAAAAATATCTTACCACCAACACTAAACAACAACTTTGAGATGAAAATTTCAGGCTGCCAGAGTGGCACAGCCAAAAGGAAATATGGTGGCAGTGGCGTGTATAGGGCATCAGCCTCTGGGCTTGGAATGGCTCACCATCATCCAAAGACTTTGATCTCTGCTTGCCCCTCTGTCTGGCGATGTGGGAAAAATGATTCTCAGAGAAGCTGATAAGCAGTTGAATAAGAAAGAGGGAAAGGAAAACTGGCAAGAGGATTTGGCGCCATGCCCGCAGCCAGCACATCACTCCTCCAGCCTGGGTTCCGCCAGTTCCAGGCCAGTTGGACCGTGGTGGGCACCAGGTACCAGGTTGGACAGGAGGATCCCTGATGGGACTGTGACCTGACCAAATCACAGCACCTTCCGAGGCAGCCCCTTCTGAGCCCTAGACCCCAGCATAATTCGCAGAACCTTAGAACTTGTAGTGTTCCAGCCAGAACGCGGAATGTTGGTAATGCAATCCCGGCCTGCTGTGGGCTCAGGCTTCCTAGAGCCCTGACCACTAGGGAAAGTTCACCCACTGGACTTGATGGGTCCCTGTTACCCTATTGCTTTTGGAGCAAGGCCTGGATTCTAATGTCCACCACTCAATAGCATGGAAAGCACTTGTACCTTTCTGTGCTGTTTTCCTCAGATATAAATGAAGCTACCATCCACCCCACCCCATGGGGGTTGCTGTGCTGCAGATAAGCAGTGAAACTGATAGCTCTGTAAATCCTTGATCTTCTCCTTGACTGGTCTGTGGACCTAGGGCACGCTTTGATGTCGTTTCCCAAAGTATGGTGTATTCCAAGTGGTATGAGACGGATATCCTTTACTTTCATAGCTGTGAATTTATTTAATAAAAGATTTATTTCTTTATTTTAGAGAGTGTAGGGGGGAGGGGCTGAGGGAGAGGGAGAGAGAAACTTAAGCAGACTCTGAGCTGAGCGTGGAGCTGGACATCTCCATCTCGACCCTGAGATCACTACCTGAGCAGAGACCTGAGCTGAAACCAAGTGGGTGGCTTAACTGGCTGCACAGCCCAGGCGCCCCTGTGAATTTATTTTTAATGTGTATTGGAAAACTGTAACTAGTCGGTATAGTGATATAATGGCAACAACATAAACTTTTAAAATAAACCTATGTTAAAATGCCAAGTTTCAGAAATATAAATAGTAGTACAAAATTTAAAGGATACAACAAAATTGTTAAGGTGGTTCCAGAATTACTGAAATTTGAGCAAGGATGGAGCATGGAAACTTGTGCTTCACTGGGTCCTATCTTGCTTTGTTTTTCCAGTTGTCCCAAGGTTGATGCAGTTGTCCCAAGGCTTGGCATATTGATCTAAACTGCACTCTGAGGCCTATGATCTAGTACTGACTATAAAGATGGAGATGGGCAAGACATAAGCAGAGTTTCAGGCTCTTTGCTTGCCTATCTGCAATGCAGAGGACAGACCAACCGAGGGTTATTAGCTATAATATGAAAAATATAAACTGACAAGAAAAGGACAAAAAAAAAGAAAAACAATGGAAAAATGGACAAAAGATGTAAAGACACTATGTATAGAAAGGTAAATCCAAGTAGCCAATGAATGTGTGAAAAAATATTTCAAAATATGCTAGTACTAGGAAACTGTAAACTGAAGTAATAATGAGCTAGCATTTTGTATCCATCAGGTTGGCAAAAATATTAAAACAAAGTTAACACATATTGCTGGTGAAGATATGGAGAAAAGTACCATTTTTTCCTTTTTGGTGGAACTTTGAATTGTTACAATGTCTACGGAAAGCAACCTGGCAATAGCATTTAAAATTAAAAATACATATATTCTTTATGTGCATGTTTTTGTTTGGGAATCTGCCTTTCACCACTGCTCAGTTCTCATGGTATGAATGGGGCCCCAAAATCTATCCTGGAAGTGGGGCGTGAAAACTAGACCTGAAAAAAAAATTAGAACATGCTATTTCCCTGGCCACCATGAGGTAGATAGGTGGGCACATGACCCACGCTGGTCCAATCCAAGTTAATCTCAGGGCTTCTGCTAGAAATGCTAGGACAAAGATGTTTATCTTTCTCTGGATTCAAACTTGAAAGGATTTAATCCCTGTAGCTGCTAAAAGCCATGCTTGAAACCCTGTAGTGTGTGGCTGTGAAAATGCCCAGTTTAGAGCATAAGTGACTAATGGCCTTGGCTGTTGTCCCTCAGATGTTCCACCATATTCATGCCAAAGCCATGCTTCCTACAGGCTTCTCTCAGCCAAGACTAAACATGGTAAGAACATTAATCCAGAATGCCTCTAATGGAAGATTTTGGCTTGAGGACTCCACATCAATCTGGTTGAAATTTTCTTAGAACTAGGCTGTACTCTGAAATCCTTCCAAACAAATCTCCATTCCTTCACCTCATCCTACAGGTGTCATCCCTGTATCACTGTTTGAAGATTCTCTTCACCTTCACCTTCACTAGCTCCCTTTCTGTTATCTTTCCCAACTGTTTCCCCAATAAACCTCTTGCACTTCTAGTAGCATCTTGGCAGCTGATCCATGAAGGATACAAATTAATACAAACACCACTAGAAGTTTTGGAGGAAACAAATTGTAAGGTAAAGCTTTGAAACTGGTTCAGTTACTATTCAATGGGTAAAAATGATGCCATCTTGAACAGTATGTGGAGTATGAATAGTCCCTGGAGAGAGATGACAGCTGAATTGCTAAAAAAAATTCACTAGTGGTAAAATATTTTCCATCTAGGAAAATGATATGGTGGAGAGGAATGTCCTGGCAGGTGTAATGATTCAATCATTTGAAAGATAAAGGGGAGTGGTGCCTACAAGGACAGCAGAATGGGTTGGTTATAGAGTTGTATTGATGCCCTACAGAGGGGTAATGAGAAACCAAGGGCTACTGACTAGCAGTTAAAGACTAAGTGTGAAAGCCAGAGGATCTCTTTGGTAGCCTTTATCTCCTGTAGTGGGAATGGACACAGCTAAGCAGAGAATGAGGACCTGATAGTGACAGAGTTCCAGAGACATTTATGTGTCGAGCCAGGCAGGTCTCATGCTAAGGCCAGAGTTCTGGCTGGGAAAGCTTGACTGAAACATGGCTTCTGTGTTTAAGTACCACCACCTGGTCTCTATTACTTTGGAAGCCTCATTAATTCCATGGATATTAATGAGCCCAGTTCTGTGACTATCTCTACTATCAGTTTTGGTTTATGGAGGAGAGCTACTGAACTTCTTAGTGATGCAGTTCTCTTTTTACCACCATATACCTGATGGCCTTGGTATATGGATGGATCCTCCTGAGGATGTGATGTTGACTCTACAGGTCCCCTTGAAAGCTCAGAGCTTGTGGAGGTGGACTACCCATATGCTGGGAGTCCCTACTACCCCTTCTCCTGGCTGATAGGCCAATAACTAGAGTTAAACTCAGTAGAATCCAGATGAGGACACACTGTGGCTGATAAGAGAGGAAAAAAACTATATTCCATCGTATAACTAGCTTGTATTGGAAGGAGTCAATGAGTATCACTGATACTGAATTTTGAAGATGCTTATCCAGGCACTAGAATGTTAAACTGGATAAGTGAGATTTCATCGACTTGGTGGTACTTTCATGGGACATGGGATTTAATACCCTAGCAAGACCCCAGGGCATGGGGCAAATTCATTGTTAGGCTGACTTTTAGAAGTCTGAAGAAAGTGAGGGCCAACCTGGGGAAAGTGGTAATGCCTGAGTTGCCTACACAGAAGGAAGAGGAAGGAAGAGAAAGGCAATGCCTGAGTTGCCTACACAGAAGGAAGAGGAAGGAAGGGAAAGGCTGAGAGAATTGGGCTTACTGAAATAGATGCATTATGTGAGGCTAGAAAAACCACCAGATGATTATGTTCCAGGAGAGGGTCCAGAGAAAACATCAAGGCCATCAGAAACATGCTGCTAAGAGGGCACTAGTGTTTAGTGATGCAGGCCAAGATTGATAGTAGAAGCAGTCATGGAACTGGGCTTGCTTATAGCCAATGGGAATGATGGAGCTCCCAAAGTAATAATGGTCAAGTGGTGGTACTTAAACACAAGAATTCAGGAGGCCACAATAATCAAAACAACAGCCAAAGTCAGAGGGCTGGCAAATGGGGGCTTGAATCATAGGAGACGGCTAAAAGAACATGGCATTCCTTGGGGTAGAATAGAGGGGCATTAATCAAGGGTGCTGCTTAACATCCACAATCAGAAAAGGGCAGGAATGGAAGAGCAGGAGGCTGAGGTCATAGCTCCAATAAAAAGTCACAATCCCTTCCTCAGCGTCCAAACTTGAGCCAATTTTCAAATCCAGAACTCATTGACTGAAGAAGTGTCCAGGTTCTAGAAGGGACTCCACAAACAACTGCATCAAAAATATACTATAATGATTCTTCCAGTCCTTCCCCATTCACTACGATTATTTACCAGTGGCTGTAAAGTGTAAAAAGAGGAATACCTGACATTTTTGAGGACTTTTATACACAGGGCCCAAGTTGACATTGATTCATGGAGACCTGAATCATCACCATGTCTAATTCTGTGTCGGCATCTGCTTCTCAAAGGACTCTACTTCATAAGGGAATAGCCAGCATGAGAATGGAGTCATTTCAGGAGAAGAAACAGAATCCTGCTGATCTATCTGGAAACTAGATCAGACAGACCCTGGAGTCAATTTGTTCTATTATCTGAATCAGTAATTCCCCTTTTGCTTAAGCCAGTTTAACTTATGTTTTCTTATATCTCTTGAGCATTCCTTCCTTGAAAGCAACATATTAAGATTCCTCAGAGGAAGGAAAAATGATGATAACAGATGTGATTATTGTTCTTAAGCAAGGTCCCTGTGCTCTTTCCTAGAGTTGATCTGAATATCTGCAATGAGGAAGGGAAATATGTAAGTCTACAAATCCCATGTATAAAGCTCCTTTGTTCATAAATCAAGCTTGCTATCTTGCTCTTTCTAGCCATATACGCATTTCCATACAGGTATGTATACTTATATACACATACTACAAAATGAACAAAAATTATCTGTTTATCCAAATAAATAAAAGATAAAGGGAAACTTTTTTGATATTGTCCCAAATTAAGAACAGAAGATTGTGATTGCTGCCTGTTACAGAAAACCCGTAATTTTCAGGGCAGAACAGCAGAAGAGATCAGGACACTCCCTCCCTCAGAGCGTCACTTTGCTGTCCTTAACTATAAGCCTCCCCTTGCCCAAATGTATACCTCACCAGCTCT